CACTGCATAAGTGTCAAATGTTTTTTATTCTTACCCCTACTGACAAAATTCTCAACTGGTTCAATATATTTTTGAGGGGAGATTATCCACTACCTTTTGTGTGTGGAAAGTACTTCCTGACACCATCTCCAAACAACCTGGCTCAAAGTTCCTAAAGGTCTCAACTCACTAACAGTGGAAACCTATTTCCTCCCATCTAACTCTTTAACATTTTACTATCATCAGATAGCCCCTAGAATCAAGCATCTACTTAAGGAAAATAAATGAAAAGCTTTCTCTTCATTTAAGATTATCAACCCGAGTGTTAATTGAACTGCTGTTGAGGTGAAGACTGAGCATCATATCTGCTTCCAGCGTTCCTCAGTTTAGCAGTAGGAAAATCGACAGGGATTCCCCCTCCCTGCAAGCTGTCCAACCTCCTCTCACAGATATTGTACCCATGGAGGACCAGTTCCTGTTGTGATACCCTGACATAGTTATAGAATCATAGAATCCTACGGTACAGAAAAGGCCCTTTGGCCCATTGTGTCTGCACTGCCAAAGCTACACTAAATCTCCACTTATCCTACTTTCCCACACTAGGCCCAAAGCCTTGAATGTTATGACACTTCAGTGCTCATCCAAGTACTTTTTAAAGGTTGTGAGGTTTCCCACCTCAAATACCCTCACAGGCAGCGCATTCCAGACCCTCACCACCCTCTGGGTGAAGAAATGTTTCCTCAAAACCACTCTCAACCTCCTGCCTTCCGTCTTAAAATTATGTCCCCCTGTTATTGACCCTTTGACTAAGCTGCTTTCTATCCGCTGTGTCCATGACCCTCATAATTTTATACAACTCCATCAGGTTGTTTCTCAGACGTCTCTGCTCTAAAGAAAATAACCCAAGTTGATCCAAAGATAGCAAGAACTGCAGATGCTGGAGTCAGAGATAACAAAGTGTGGAGCTGGAGGACTTATCCAGCCTCTCTTAATTGCTGAAATACTCCATCCCAGTTGATCAACAATGTAGGGCCATTTGAACAACATGCTAGAATATGTTTTGAACAACAGCACATAATTCTGGGCAAATTAAAAACCAAAAGAATTGTGGATGCAGTAAATCAGAAACAAAAATGAAAATCAAAAACTGAAATTGCTGGAAAAGCTCACCAGGTCAGCAGTATCCGTGGAGAGAAGTCAGAGTTAATGTTTCAGGCCGAGTGACCCTTCACCTTGTGCTAGGAAGGGTGCTATTGAACTGAGAAGGGTGCGAAAAGGATTTACAAGGATGTTACTGAGACTGGAAGATTTCAGTTATAAGGAGAGGCTGTATAGGCTGGGACTATTTTCCACCTGAAGTGTAGGAGGCTGAGGAGTGGCCTTATAGAGGTTTATAAAATCATGAGGGGCATAGACAAGGTGATTAGGGGGCAGGGGAGTCCCTAGGGGGCATAGGTTAAAGGTGAGAGGGCAAAGATTTAAAAGGGGCCTGAGGCATAACTCTTTCACACAGAGGGCAGTGCATTTATGAAATAAGCTGCCAGAGGAAGTGGTAGAGGGGGGTACAATTACAACATTTAAAAGACATTTGGATAGGTACATGGACAGGAAAGATTTAGAGGGATATGGGCCAAACGCAGGCAAATGGGACTAGTTCAGTTTGGCAACGTGGTCAGCATGGACGAGTTGGGCTGAAGGGTCTATTTCCATGCTGTATGACTGTATGACTCCAGGCAGAGGCAAGCACTACCTACTGAACTGCAGCCAAATGCAGAACAATGTTCTCAGGCAAGGGCAGGGAACAATGACAGACAAAATTAAAAGAAAAGAAACTGGAAAATACTCCATATCTGGCCACATCACAGTCTAAACAAAATGACTGTTTAAGAAATGAGACAGATTAGACGCAGATGTGTCCTGTGAAAACAATTGAATTCAGAAGGAAGAAAAAGATGGGTTCTTTGTAAGAATAAAGAATCTTGCTGAAAATAGACCTCTTAGCCGGAGCATAGTGTTCAGATGAAAAACACATGCTTCTCGAAACTGGAAGCATTGCTAATAATTGGAGGATAAAGCCCAGTGAATTAGACACTAGATCTGTCAGTAATCTATGAAGCACCTTGTTGTTGAATACCTGCTCCTATTGCCACACTGACCACCAAGGCTACATCAAATTTTATCTGTCCACTGGTCAGAGGCTAAGCATTAGTAGGTGCTGTTGGCTGGCACTGTGAAAGGCACCCACTCCACAGGTATTGTCATCCTACCTTGGGCACTCTGGTGTCACTGCTTTCTCTTGTCATAAAGGCACAGTCAACCCATCACTTCATATAGACAGTACACAAACAGGCCATTCAGCTCAACTGGTGATGGTGTTTATGTTCCATCCCAGCTTCCTCCAATTTGACTCCACCTATCAGCGTGCAGTTCTATTCCTCCTGCTGACATGCTTTAATCTAGCTTCTCTTTACATGCACCGAAGCAAAGCCACTCATAACTTCAAAGACCTGTATTCAGTTGCCTCGCAGCTAACTGTTTTCCAGAGAGGAGCATTTCTGTTCTTGAAGTCTATGCGTCTCTCCTCAAGCTCCTTGTCATTGTCAAATACATGACCACCTTTAAATGCTTGATTCCTCAACTAATTTTTTTTTTCCCCTGACTTAGCCTTAATGAAAATTATGGTTGCAGTGTTTGATGGTTTAGTGTTTGATTGAAATTGATGCTCGTTTGATTAAGTTTCAATGTGGACTCAGAGAAGTAGAAAAAAGCTGTAGAAAGAATTGTCAACAATGAGCTAGAAATGAATGAAACAGGTATCTTAGAGCATTGTGAATAAAACCTGCTACACACATACAGATCAGTGTCATCTCTGCATAGAAACCGAGTATAAAATATACAACAATGATCATTTGTCATTAAATCATCCTTAAGTTCTCTGTAGCTTATTGCAGTCAACTAAAACATTTCCATACAACAACCTTCATCTTGTACAACTCAATTGATAACCACCCAACTCCTAGCCTTAAACATCATACACCTTTTTATCTACGAGGACACAAGTCTGTCAAAGGTACATTTGAGTGGTTTGTTAGCCTCGTTTCAGAGGGTAAAAGTGGGATTGGTGTCACGTGGAGAACACAGTGAACAAGGATGGCACCTTTCCTTCCCAAAAGTGCTGCTTGGGTTTGTGTACTGACCCATGCAGATGAAAATCTTTCAATTCGAGAATCCATTTCGCTTATCACTTTCAATGCAAACAGTTCCATAATGGAGATTTAAACTTGCATGTCGAGAACATGGTCACTGGTTTAGCAACGTAATCTGTATGCTACCACAGTCAAGATTAAGTCAGAAGTCACACGATACCAGGTTACAGTCCAACAGGTTTATTTGAAATCACAAGCTTTCGGAGCGCTGCTCCTTCATCAGGTGAAGTGAACAAAAGCACAAAGGCACAGAATTAATAGGCAGAGAGAACAAAAGATCATACAAATGGTGTGAGTGGAGTGTCGACACGCTGAATAATAAGTCTCTGCAGGTGATCAAAAGTGTCAGATGGTGTGAGTAAAGTGTCAACAGCTGAATAGCAAGTGAAAGGGATAAGTTATGATCCAATTAATTGAGGCAGAAAGATAACTACACAAAATTAAAAATAAGATGGTGCTGGACACAAACCAAATGACTGGAATAACATGCTAGGTATAAGAGTCACATGCTGAGGGTCTGACCAAAGTAATGAGTAATCCAAAACTGTATAAACTAATTAAGGTAGAGAGATTATAACAAGTTATCAAGGTGATGGTGTTAAAACAGGACAGTAAGGAAGATTTTACAGATACAGAACAGTATGGTGGGGTTACATGTAGCATGACATGATCCCAAAATCATGGTTGGGGCCATCTTCATGGGTACAGAACTTGGCTCTCAGCCTCTGCTCAGTGATTCTCTGTTGTTGTGTATCTTGAAGTCCACCTTGGAGGATGCTTGCCCAAAGATTGGAGGCTCAATGCCCTTGACTGCTGAAGTGCTCCCTGATGGAGAGGGAATATCCCCATCTGACAATTGTTGCACAGTGTCCATTCATCCATTGTCATAGCATCTGCATGTTCTCGCCAATAAACCAGGCCTCAGGGCATCCTTGCCCACAGCGTTTGAGATAGATAACATCGGCCGAGTCACATGAGGATCTGCTGTGCATGCGCTGGATGGTGTTCCTACGTGGGATGGTAGTGTCCATGTCGATGATCTGACATGTCTTCTAGAGGTTGCCATGGCAGGTTGTATAGTGTTGCAGTTGATGTTGTCCTGAAGGCCGGGTAGTTTGTTACGAACAATGGTCTGTTTAAGGTTTGGTGGTTGTTTAAGGAAGAGAAGTGGGGGCATAGGATTGACTGTATGATCTTTTGATCTCTCTGCCCATTGATATCTCTGCCTGTGCCTGTGTGCCTTTCTTCACTTCACCTGATGAAGGAGCAGTGCTCTGAAAGCTTGTGATATCCGATAAACCTATTGGACAATAACCTGGCGTTATGTGACTTCTGACAGTCCAACACCAGCACCTTCACATCATGGCTACTGAAGATTAAATAAATGATGAGAAGAGGGAAGATCTAATGAACTTGTTGTGAATGTTAAAAGGACCTAACTGTGTAGATATAGAGAAATGATTTCCTCTCATGGGTGGATGAAGAACAAGGGAAATGATCATAAAATAAGTAATAAAACCAAAAAGCATTTTTCACATAAGGGAGAGTGGCAAGCTGGAACTCTGTCCCCCAAGAAACTGTGCACGTTTGGAGTCAAAAGGAGTTTTCAAGTCCTAAATGAATACGTTTTGTTGGTTAGAGCTGTCAAGAGAAGGCAGGTAAATGGATTAAAGGTACCAATTAGGACTGATTGAGCTGAACAATCAAATAGGCTTAAGTGATTGGATGCTCAAATCTGATTCTTATATTGCGATTTTATCATCTTCTGAAGAGGAGATTCAGAGATCTTGATAGAAGTAACCAGGGCTGGCTTACCGATCACAGTGATGTGGGCGATTTCGCTGCCTACCACCACATTTTCTGGAAAAGTGAACCGCACTTCCTTGGACCAAAGCTGTCCCCCAGCTTCTGGGGCAATGAACAGAGCCTGAGAGAATGACTTTTGTATTCCTTCAGCCTAGACACAGATGGGAAACAAATTGTTAAACACTGTTAGGTAAAAATCATAACCTGAACTCTGAAAATCTGGAATAATAAAGAAAAGGAAGCCAACTGACCAGGAGTCAAATTTAATAAATAAATCAGGAGTTCTGATGTTTATAGAGCTACAGAGTTTATAGAAGCTAGGAATCCTGTAGCAATTAACTCACCTCCTGTCTCCCCAAAGCCTGCCCACCACCTACAAGTCAGGAGTATGATGGAATACTCCCCAGTTGCCGGGATGGGTGCAGTATCGACAACATTCAAGAAGATTGAAACCTTCCTGGACAAACCCACACGCTTGACTGACACCTCATCCACAAACATCCACTTCCTTCCCCACTGATACTCAGTGTGCTTCAGAAATTCACCAAGCCTCCTTTGACAGCACCTTCCAAATCCATGGTCACTACCATCTGGATAGGAGATACATGGGAAAACCACAACGTGCAAGTTCCCCTCTGAGCCACCCACCATCATGGCTTAGAAATATATCACCATTCCTTCTCTATCGCCGGGTCAAAGATCTGGAATTCCCTCCCTAACAGCATTGTGGATCTATCTACAATGCATGGATTGCAGCGGTTCAAGAAGGCAGCTCACCACCTTCTCAAGAGCAACTAAGGACAGGCAATAAATGCTGGCCCAGCCAGTGACATCATTTCCTGTCAATGAATCCAAAGAACATTCTAGCACAGCAAAAGTCTTTTTAGCAAGCCAATAACATTATACCTTTAGCACTTTCTCTTTTGTCTTTTCCTCTGCTCTTTTTCCATCACTGCTCAGTGTCTGACGCTGAGAGTGACCTTATAGAGGTTTATAAAATCATGAGGAACATGGATAGGGTTAAAAGCCAAGGTCTTTTTCCAAGGGTAGGGGTGTCCAAAACTAGGGGGCATAGATTTAAGGTGAGAGGAGAAAAATTTAAAAGGGACTAAGGGATAACTTTTTCACACAGAAGGTGGTGCGTATGTGGAATGAGCTGCCAGAGGAAGTGTTGGAGGCTGGTACAATTACAACATTTAAAAGGCATCTGGATGGGTATATGAATAGGAAGGGTTTAGAGAGATACGGGCCAAATGCTGGCAAATGGGACTAGATCAGCTTAAGATATCTGGTCAGCACAGATGAGTTGGACCGAAGTGTCTGTTTCCATGTTGTATAACTCTATGACTCTATGCTCAATTCTGTTTTCAAATTTTTTTTTGACAACTTGAATCTGCCTCAATCACACTTTCAACTAGTACGTTCCAGATCACAACAAGTTACTGTGTAAAATTATTAATGTCAGACCATTTCCGGCTCTTTCACCAACCAGCCTTAAGCTTGTGTTCCTCAGGTTATCAACACACTGAAAACAGTTTCTCCTTACTTATTCTGTCAAAGGTATGCATGATTTTCAACACTGCCTTAAATCTCAATCAGATCAAGGTTGGCTGAGGTACATTGCATTGTTTTCATGTTCTGGCATATTCTTTTAGATGTCATTCTGGTAAAGAAGAAGGATTCTAGCAAGAGGCAACCGTGAACCAGGGACATTAAGGATAGCATCAAACTGCAAGAGAAAACATATAATATGGACAAGATTAGTGTTAAAGCCAGAAGACTGGGAATATTTTAAAAAGCAACAAAAGAAAACCAAAAAGTAAATAATGTTGAGGGGAAAATAAACTTTGAGTTTAAACTTGCAAGTAATATCAAGATGGAAAGCAAGAGCTTCCTTAAATATATAAAAAGAAAGAGACAGGCCAGGGTGGCACAGTGGCTCAGTGGCTCAGTGGTTAGCACTGCAGCCTCACAGCACCAGGAACATGAGTTTGATCCCAGACTCAGGTTACTCTCTGAATGGAGTTTGTACATTCTCCCTGTGTCTGCATGGGTTTCTTCCCACAGTCTAAAGATGTGCAGGTTAAGGTGGATTGGTTGTGCTAAATTGCCCATAGTATCCAGGGATGTGCAGGCTGGATAGATTAGCCATGGCAAATGCAAGGATAGCAGAGGGGGATAGGCCTGGCCTGGATGGGATGCACTTTGGAGAGTCAGTGTAGACTGAATGGCCTGCTTCTACACTATGTGGATCCTGTAATGAAATGGGGAGCCAGGAAATGGCAGAGAAATTGAGTCATTTTTTTGCATCCGTCTTCACAGTAGCAAACATTAATACTGAGGAATCAAGGAGGAGAGAAAAGAAATATAATAACTATTTTGAGGAAAAAGTGACAGGAAAACTAATGTGGCTAAAGAGAGATCCATCCACTAGATTTGATGTAATTCATACTGAGATATTAAAAGAAGTATCTACAGAGATAGTTAATGCACTGGTAGTAATTTTCCAAGAATCGTCAGGTTCTGGAAATGCCCCAGAGGACTGGAAAATTACTAACATAAAACCTTTCATTAAAAAGGGAAGGGGACAAAGAAAAGGTAACAATAGATTAATTTGCTTAATGTCTGTTATGTTGTGGAAACTGTTAAGAGTATATTACAAAGAATGTAAAAGCAGAGCATTTAGAAATACATAACACGATCAAACAGAGTCAGCATGAAGGGGAAATCATGCCTGACCAATTTACTAGCATTTCTTTGAGGAGTTAACAAGCAGGATAGATAAAGGCATTGGGCTACTTAATGAGATAGCAGCCCATTGTGTTGGAGGTAATATATTAGCATGGATAGGGGATTGGCTAGCTAGTAGAAAGTGTTTTCAGGATGGCTACCTGTGATTCGTGGAGCATCACAACAATCAGTGTTGGGACCATAATTATTTACAATATACATTAATGACTATGATGAGGAAAGTGAAGGCACTGTAGCCAAATTTGCAGATGACAAGAATAGATGGAAAGGTAAGAGATGCGAATGACAAAAACAGTCTGCAGATGGATACAGACAGTTTAAGCAAGTGGGTAAAAACATAGCAGATAGAATATAGTGTGAGAAAATGTGCGGTTATGCACTTTGGCAGGAAGAATAGAAGAGTTGAATATTATTCAGAGACATAGAGAGCGACAGCACAGAAAAAGGCCCTTCAGTCCATCGTGTCCATGCCAGTCACAAACAAGGGCCTAACTATTCTAGTCTCTTTTTAAAGCACTTGTTCCATAGATTTGTATGCCTTGGCATCACAAGTTCACAACTAAATAGTTCTTCAATGTTATGGAATTTTAAATGGAGATAAACTGCAGAAAGCTATGGAACAGAGGCATTTGGGAGGCCTCATCCATGAATCACAAACAGCAAGGATCTAAGCTCAGCGGGTAATAGGGAAGGCAAGTGTAATGTTGGCCTTTATTTAAAAGGTTATGGAGTATGAAAGTAGGGAAGCTTTGGCAATTCTATTCAAGGCACTGGTTAGACCACAGCTAGAACACTGTAAGCAGTTTTGGCCCCCTATCTATGGAAAGATATACTGGCATTGGAGGCTGATACCAGATATCAAGGAATTGTCTCATGAGGTGGGGTTGAGTAGGTTAGTTCTTTTCTCGTTCAAATATGGAAGAATGAAAGGCAAACTTATTGAAACATACTTAGGGAATTTGTCAGCGCAGATGCATAAAAAGGTTGTTTCCCCTTCTAAAGAGTCTAGAACCAGAGGACATAATCTCTGAATAAGGGATTGCATATATAAAATAGAGATGAGGAGGAATTTCTTCTCACAGAGACTTAGCGAATCTATGGAATTCTTTACCGCAGATGGTTGTTGAGGCTGGGTGGTTTAGTATATTCAAGGTTGAGAAGAAGTTTTTAATCACAAATGAAATCAAAGGTTATAGAGAAGGAAAATGGAGCTAGGGATTAAAAAATCACTCACAATCTCATTGAATAGCAGAGCAAACCCAATGGGCTGAATGGCCTACTCTGCTCCTATGTTTTATGGCCTTTTGCAAGCCATCAAAAACGTGGAACTTCATCCTACCTTTGGCTTCCCTTTCAAACCTCGAGTTG